TTTGTAGGGATGCGAGGTCAATGGTCTAACGACTACGGCATGCACGTCTATGAGTCCCCCCCCCCCTGTTTTAGCGTTTCCAATTCCGTCGATCAATAAGAAGGCTGCTTTATTTTTGAGTGAGATTTTCCGAGTTGGATCTGGTAATTGAAATTTTCAATTTTTCAACTGGAATTTTTCAAACCGTAAGAAACGGCCTAAGGTCGAAGTTTGGTACTCACGAGAGCTTGTCAGATATATATCGCTTTCACCCGTACATTTTGTATATTTGTTACCCCATGGGGATTCGAACTTCGAACTCACGACCTCTGCGACAAGCGGATTACGAGGACACCACTAGACTACCGGGGCGACCGGTGCATGTATACGCTGGTGTGTATTCCGAGCCCTCAGTTATCAAACAAATCAATGAAATGGAATACTATGATGCTTCGATACTTCGATACTTCGACGTTACGCATGGCATGCACGCCTACGTCCGGGCTTAAACATGCAAATCTGGACAGGTACTGACCCACCCACTACGAACATGTAAGACATCTACACGAAACTAACTGAACCACAGGTCATCAGTGGCCTTCGTCATCGCTGTCATCGCTCTGGTCGCTACCGCCGCCGCCGCTGTTGGCATCTTGAGCGCTACCCGTCTTCTCTGCTGAGCTGCTACTCTGGGCCCGGCCCCTGTTGTACTTCAGCAGTGCGGAAGCGCAAATACGGTCGCTGTAAATGTGCTCCTGCCGTTCATTAAAGCAACACCGCAGGATGGAAAACACTTCCATGAACGCAGAGGATGGTTGCAAAAGAGCAACATCCAACACCATGGCGTGCCACGTAGGCAGCCTTTTCTTGTCCTTCCCGAACGCCATGTGCCCATAAGAAAGCCAGCGGCAGCACTTGTCGTTCGACCGACAAATTGCACCTCCTCCTTCGCCGAATCCTCGTCGCCACTGCTATTTCCCATCTGCTACCACCAGAGTAGGCTTCCATACCGGTAAGAGGCGACGGCATCGCACCGCCGTTCAGCTATGTGGGTGTGTGAGTGTCAAGCTGTCTCCTCCCGGGGGTCGCAAGCAGGGGCACTGTGAAATTAATCGGCGAGAATCGGCGACCTCAAACCCATGATTCGGCGGAGCCCCCTCCAAAAAGACGCTACTTTTTGGTTTTCGGTGAAAGTTTTTTTTTTTCGGCGGGCAGTTCTTTTTTTTGGCGACATATTTTGGAATTCGGCGTTTTCGGCGGTCGCCTACGGGGGAAAAGCCTAGTCGCGCCCTTGGTGATCAATGTCTTCCCTGCCCACACTAGGCTGTGCGTTCCAAATTTGTATACAGTACTACAGCGGTAGTTCGGACGTCAACTGAATTGTGTAGGCAACCGTAAACAGACGCAGCAGATGGTTGGGACAGCCGCAAGGCTGGTGACGATGGCGACCGAGTGTGCAGCAGGAACGGCATGTACATCGGTGCACGCTTCACGTCGAAAAACAGTCTACACATGTGTACAGTGGGAGCCCCGGTTTAGCGACCCCTATTAGTGTCACGACGAAATATGGTCGCTATTCAGGGTACGTCGCTAAACCCGGTTAAGCGACTAGCAGTCGCTAAACTGAGAAACAGCGACAATTCGTGAGACTAAAGGCCGTATGGCAGAACCCTTCTTGACCGGGTCGTGTGCGCGTCGTATTGCAGCAGTCACATGAACATAGAGGAAATAAGAAGCACCGTAGGGTGGACAACCGGGGAGTAGTTCCTATATGGAGTGTATTCCAATAAACCAGCAAGCTTGTTGTACCATCCGAAGTTTGTAGGAAAAGTCTCATAAAAAATGTACAGATGGTGTCTTATGCCTTTCCCGCATGCTGTACAATCTGT